GTGTTTGGGTGGCGGGGGGAGGTTGGGGGGGGGGGTAAAGGGGCTAGGCTGGGGTGAGGAGGGGTCTGTTGGTGGGGAAGGCTCCTGGCTGAGTAAAGGGGGGGCTGGGGGCAAGAGCAGGGCGAAGGGGCTCTCGTGGGCGCTGGCGGGCAGGGGGGCGCTCGGGAGGCAGAGGAGACCCCGGTGGAGGGGACAGGGCAGGCGGCTGCAGTGGGGCTCTGGTGTGACACGGTGCCCCAGCGGTGCTGCAGCCCCAAACCCAGATCACGTCCCAGCGGAGGAGAGACAGGGCACGGACCCGAACGGGGCAGCCCTGCTGGGGCGCTGGGCAGGCATACCCATGGCCCACGGAGGGTCGGCCGCTCGGGCTCAGGGCCTACCCAGCACCGCTGGGGCTGGGGCGAGGTGGGTCGGTGCAAAGCGGCTGTCGCTGCTGTTGTTATTGCTTGGCGGCGGGGTTGAGGTAAGAGGGTTTTGTCCCCGGGTGCTGAATGCAGCTAGGGCTGGAGGCGGAAGCGAACTTCGATGTGTCGTTATCATCACAGCGGCTACAGTCCTGTTATTTTTTGGTTTTGGTGTTTAAGAAGACCACAATAGAGAAAACCAGTGAAATCTGTCCCGGTTCTGTTGTTTCCTTGGCTCTCGACATGTTTGGATAAAGATCTCACCGTAGCCTGACTCGCTGACCATATATCAAAGCCCTTGATGTTTTCTCTGGGTAACAGTTTGCTTACCCACGTTTAAGGGCATTAAAACACCTCGCTGCTCCTTGCGTTGCCCTGGAGAGCGGGAGGAATGTGCAGTTACTCCGTGAAGAGTGAGCTGCAGTTGGGCAAGCCTCAGCCAGGTCGCTTTGTGTCTTGTGCCTGATGTGAAGTTCGGCCGCTGCCTCCTCCTTGCTCCCCAGCTCGTGGCGGGGTATTTGGTGTGGGCCAGAGGAGAGGTGGCACAGTCACAGGTAGTTTTTTTTCAGAAGAAACCTTTCCCCTGGTGTTAAATCTAGGAAATTCCAGGGGTACTCCTGAGAGAAGTCTTAATTTGGGGCTAAAATAAACTCTCAAGTGCTTATTTAACTAGTCCTCCTTCCCAGGGTCGCTTTCCTGGAGGCTGGCGTAAGAGCAGGGCTTTTCCTGCCTGCTCTGTGCTATATTTAATAGCTGACAGAGCGGAGGGTAGGGATTTAATTACAGCTATGTTGCGATGTGGCTGCTGCTGTTAGACGCTGTGGGGCACTGTTGCCCACGGGCTGTGCAGTTTGTGGAGGCCCCAACACCCACCGTCGGGCCTTGG